ACTGAGAGTGAAAATACTAAAAAAAAAAAAAAAAAAAAAGTATAGGACCCTGGCCCAGCAGGTAGCATAGTTGTTAAGGCGCTGGACTCCCACATGGCCAGCAGCAGTTTGAGACCTGGACCGGGCGGCTTGAAACACACTGGGCACATGTGTGTATGTGCCCAAAATCCCAAGAGGAAAATGGAGGAGAAGGGATTAGGGTGTGCAATTTCCCTGGGGGGTGATTTCTCACTTTCTCTCCCACTGCCTCTCTTTGTGTCTCCAGCCATTGTCCACGCCCTACAGCAAAAACCAAACACACACACACACACACACACACACACACACACACAAAGACTGTGTCCTTAGCCTCTGAAAACGTCACTGTGTATGTGAAAGAACAGGTGCTTAAAAGGCAAATACCAGCTGGCGGCAGGGTGGTTGAGGCAGCTGGGTTACACACGACGGACTGGCGGTTCAAGCCCCAGATCCAGTGGCCTGAAAGCCTGCTGTGTGTGTGTGTGTGTGTATGTCCAAAATCCTGAGAGAGAATGGGGGAGAAGGAATTGTGGTGTGGCCATCCTTCCCCGGCGGGAGCTCTCTCACTTCCCCATCACCCCTCTCCCTGTCTCTGGCATGCACCCTGTAGCCATTTTTTTAAAGACAAATAGCATCTTAGCATTATTAGAGAAAGCACTTTGATCACATAGATTTGCCCCTAAGAAGAGCTTCGAGGACTCCCAGGGATCCCTGAAGTGCACTTTGAAAACACGACACAGACTGTAGCGTTCTGGACTCTCCTCAAGGCTCGCCAGCTCGGGCTCGTAAGAAGAGGCAAGTGCAGAAGCTCGTGATGCCCCCATCTTCCTCCCACCAGAGAAGCATCCGTTTTCTGGAGAAATGTTTGCTATAGGACATGTGCACTTGCCAGAGAGACAGGAAGAGATGGAGAGGGAGAAAGTAAGAAGTCACCCCCCAGGGGAGGTGGCCATGCCACAATCCCTTCTCCATTCTCCTCTCAGGATTTCGGGCACGCACACACACGCCTGGTGAGAGTTTCAAGCCACCAAGTCCAAGACTCGAACTGCTGTCACCATGCCACCTGCTGGTTCTGAAACATACTTTTAAAAAAATCTTTTTTTTTCTTTACATTTTATATAATGGAGAGAAGTAAACTAAGAATTATAAATAATATTATCTTCATTTTTTAAAAAGAGGAAAATATTTCAGTTGAGGATTGATGTTTTCATTGTAAACAGTACAAATATGAAGCTCCTTAGAAGACCAAAAGTAAGTTTGTCAAGTGAAAAAAAGTTTATAAAACACATATTGACAAAGAATATATTATAATATATTGCAAAATAGATAGAACATCATAGGAATATTCTAGTGTGACTATTTTATAAGGAAATAGATTTATTCAGAATTTTTTGAGTACCTTTTTTGTGCCTACATATGTGCCTGGCACTAATGCCCTTTTTAGTTAAGAAAAATCAGGAGCTCATTTTGGAGGCTGAGAAAGGCGAGAGAGGGATAATGAAAGGGTAGGAGCACTTCAGCCCCTTAGGGATGCTGGGTGCACTCTGGCACTAGGGCAGTTCCGGGAGAAGGAGCCTCGAGCTAGAAGCCTGAAAATGAGGCTCTGTCCTTGTCACCCACGAGAGGAGACTCCCAGGGCAGCCAGCAGCTTCCCAAACATGCCTCTTATGGACCTCCTTTGAGTACAAAAACAACAGCTATCTGTACAAAACATCTTCGAATTAAAGGTGCTGATGTCGGATGAAGCCAGGTTATGTTAAATGTGTCACTGAAGAAAAACCTACCTACAGAAATGTGTGCACAAGCCCAGGAGCACCCAGATCAAGAACTGGACCTACAAAGCTTCTCTCCGGCCCCCTAAGTCACTGACCACCCGCTTTGGGAAACCGCTATTCTGGCCCTAACAGCATAGACGGCTTTTGTCGTTTGGTTTCGCGTTAATGGAAGCACACAGGGTATACTCACGTGCCTGGCTTCCCTGCTGGACACTGTGTTGTGAGAATCAACCGTGTTACGAGGCACAGTCAGGGGCTCACGCTCCACCGTGTACACCTACATCTCGTGTATCCATCCCACTGTGGAGGTCTTTCAGGCGTTTACTGTAGCCTTGTATCTACAGAAAAGACGAGGAATTCTCTCTCATGCAGAAGGAGGGATCCACAGATAGAACTCACCCTCTCCTTTCTACTTTAAGTTGTTCTAATCCAAAGAATTGTTTTGTTTTCCTTTTGATGTCAGAATCAGAACTAATCTGACTTTAAATAAAGCATTACTACTTTTAACTAGGAGGGACAGAAAGGAGAAGGGAGTTAATATGTTGACACTTCTATGTGTGAGATGGATACCCCCAAACTGCAGCCCACCCCCGCCTCAGCCAGACCAGGGCCGTGTGTACATGTGTGCCTGGGATGTTCAGGGAGCTCCCTAGGTATGAACTGGGAAGCTTGCGGCCGGGCCTCGCAGAGTGGTGCGGTACCGTTGGGCTGCTGTCCAGCCCCGGACCTGAATTTTGATGGTGATTATTTTCCAAAGGCCGGGACATGTTTTGTCATGTTGGCCCTAAGACGGGGTCCTGCACACAAGGGGCTCATCAGTGTATGGCAGCTGTGGACAGAGCAGAGGCGGGTGGGAGGGAAAACAGCACCCACACAGGGCACTCGAGAACAGAGGGCACCTAAAATTACCACTTTAGAAAATAAAAAGATGTTTATGCTCAGAATAAGAATTTCTTATTCACACATCCCACCTATGACATTAATCAGAGCCTTACCTATAGGTTGACGGTATGTCATCTTTTCCACCCCTCGGAGTTTATAGATTTCTTCACTTTGAAGTGGAAGGGGGTGGGGGGAGAAAAAAGCCCTGTGGCTGCCCTAAAAGGAATGAGGAAATGAGAGCTCTCCGGCGTCTGGCCGGCTCTGTCTGTGTGACAGCCCATGATGTGCTTTCCGGTCTCAGTAATATTCTGAATTTCCACCTGCCCGCCCCCTCCCGAATATAACGCGGAACACGTGAAGCGAGCGCAGTTCGGTCTCCTCTCCGCCCTGGATTGGCAGCAGCAGTGTCATGCTGTCCCTCCCGTTCTCCACAGTCCACCAGCGGGAAAAGAACTCCGACTAGAAGCCCTGCTTGGGTGAGTGAACGAACAGGACTAGAGAAGAAGCTGCCGTCCCGGGGGACGCTCACCAGCGTCAGACTAAGACGGGAGGCTTGGCTTCAGCGTAAAGGCTGCACTTTCTTTGTAAATGTCATTTTTCTTTTATGCCTGCTGTAGATAGCATTGTGGGAATAGGTTTTCTCCTTTTCGGCTCAGATGAGCAAATCCATGCAAAGCACTGGCAGAGTGAGCACTCCAGAAAAAGTTCACTGCTCTTGGTGAATTATAATATTAATAAATTATTAATCATAATATTGCAAATATTCCGATGACCTGCTGATGGGAATGTAAATGAGAATAACAAAGTCCGGGCTGGTAAAGGCATCTGGCTTAAGTAATTTCAGAATAAGTAAGTCCAGATGCTGCTCTTAATAGCGTAAGACCTTTGGCAATGTAGAACTGACTTGAGAACTTTCTATCGAAGTTTCAAACTCTGCGTTTTGGCCAAGTGGCACTGAAATTGGCAATTTACTGTGCGTGTGCCTCCTAACTGTGTTCCATGTGACTTGTCGTAGACAGACCCGAAGCCACACGGGAGTGAAATTCTGCACCGGACAGTCGGCACGAACGTCCATGAAGCTGATAAGCAGCTGCAATGCCGTAGGTGTCCCTTCTGCCTTCAGTCATTCCTGTTCTCTCTGGGGAAGAGTCCGAGGAGGTTGACCTAATCTTACTTCTTTCTCTTTTAGTCCAAAACACTAAATGACAGTACTATGGAGACATTGATCGGGTGTCAATCAGAGGTAAGGAGGGAAGACAGCACCCACACAGGATACTCGAGAACGGAGGGCACCTAAAATTAGTGTGTGACTATTTTCTAAGTAAACGTACTTACTCAGAAGTGTTTGAGTGCCTTCCTTGTGGAGTACCTACTATATGCCTGGCACTAATGCCCTTTTCATTAAAAAAGCAATTTTTAAAACTTTCATCTGTACTGTATGAGAAGCTAGAAAATGTTCTGTTTTCATTGAACATTATTTGGATTGCTTAATATCAAAGTAGAAAATTAATGTCATAAACGTGGTAAATTAAACACATTAGCTGGGGTCTTATATGACAACTAAGACTTTACTATTGATTCTAGAAGCTAGAAAAACTATCAATGCACTCTAGTGACTTAATTCTTACAGATTTCTTAAGAATGAACGAAATGCGAGTGTAGTTTTGGGGGAAATGCTGGGCTTCTCCAGCCATTATTTTCACTGAAATAAATGTATTTGTAGGGTGATATCAAGGACCAGCCCCTGTTGGTATCATGTGAGAGCGAAGACAGCCTTTGCCAGCTAATTGGTGAGTGTTGAAAACATACTGATCCTTTATGTAAGCGCTCACAGCCTGTGTTCTCGGTTTGCAAAACCACAGTGCTCTTACTCTACCAGGAATTTTTTTTCTAAGTATTCTTTTAAAGACCACAGAACATTAACTCTTACATGGCAGGCATGTTCCAGCTCACTAGAACAGAGAGTGCTCATCCTCTCTAAGCCAAGCCCCCAGCTCTACGAAGGGCTTTTAGGGGGTCTGACCAATCTCCTGGCCATGAATATTTTGACAATTAAAGCATGAGTACATTTGAAAAATACATCATGCCTTTTCATTTTCTTCCCTGTCTAATGGAGAATGCACCAGAGAGCCCATGAAGCAATCATTGCCCGCCTCAAATCCCAAAGAACCCACTGTTTACTTTTGATTTTTTTTCATAATGCATCTCATTATAGCACACCCCTGATCCACTTTTCCTGACCTGTATGAGGACAGGCCACTTCTCTCTCATCCTTCTTCCACTTGCCAGTATAGAACATATAGGAACATGTGGCGACCCATTTAGGAAATACAGCCTTTGGGACAGCAGGTGGCATAGTGGTTAAGGTGCTGTACTCCCACATGGCCAACTATGGCTCGATTCCCAGGCCCGGTGGCTTGACACTTACACTGGGCACGTGTGCCTGCGTGCCCAAAATCCCAAGAGGAGAATGGAGGAGAAAGGACTGTGGTGTGGCCATCTCCCTGAGGGATGATTTCTTACTTGAGCTCTCTCTGTCGCTCTCTGTCTCTCCAGCAAGTGTATGTACCCTTTAGCAAAAATCTCAAAAAAAAAAAAAAAAAAAGAGAAAAGAAGGAAGGAAGTTTCTAAGTACACACATCCCTGGATTTTGGCAAAATAAAATATCATGGTGATGTTTTACTGCCAGTACCCAGCTGACAGGTCCAGGTGCAGGCCTTCTGCAATCCATGCTGGCCCTGTCCTAAGGCTGCACCTGCGAACCCAGGTGACTGCCAGGGGACCCACCGAGGTTTGGAGTGCCCTCTGGTGGTTGCTTGCTGCAGGTGTGGGTCCGGTTAATGGCACCTTCAAAAGGATCTTCGAAAGGATCTTGAGCAAATGACTTCCTCTCCTTCTAAGTTTCATTTTGTTCACCAGTCAAAGGAGGAAATTAAAATAGCCTATTTCGTATCAGAATATTCGCTACATTTATTGAGACCAATACATTAAGATGGTTGCTTACGACCTGCAGTTAGGTTTTGCTATAATAATTTTCTGAAGCAAACAACTGGTAAAAACAGGAAAGGTGGAGACTTTGAGGAACCATGGTGTTGGTGTTTAGGGGCCAGTTGCCCTGGTAACAGTGTGGTTGGTTTTGGTTGTTTTTTCTAGATTAAAACTCACACCCTTTGCTGTCTCAGCGTTTCACAGCTTTTCCCCCACACGGCATACCAGAGGTGACATTATGAGGCCAAGTACCCACTTTCTTATCTGGATCTGTGCTTACTAACTCTTCTTTTCGCCCTGTTTTTTTGGCCGTAGAAGTTAAGAAGAGAAAGAAGGTGCTGCCCTGGCCCTTTCTCTCGAGAAGGCTCTCCCCTTCATCAGATCTCCCTGGGGCTTTGGAGCCAGAATTGAAAGCATCGCTTTTTGACCAGCCCCTGTCCATTCTCTGCGGCGAGAACGACACGCTTCCCAGACCCATTCAGGTAGGTGCACACTTACTGTGAACCCACTTCAGTTTCCATTAGATGAGAACAATCCCTGGGAAATCTGGATGTGATCTTCATACTAAACTGGTAGGGGCTGATCTTTCCTATCTGCCACTCTCAGAAAGAGGGCTCTCACAAACGAGGGCAGTCAGGGCCTCTGACGGCTTACGCTCTAGGAACTGGCTGTACCTGCCATG